GCACGCTTCATCTCAGTCAAGTCTCCATATTTCAGCACCTGGCTGTAAAATGCCTGACGCTGCTGACCATGTGCTGGTGATTTCTGCCTGTGGTGACTTTATTTATACTAACAGCCCGTTTGGCAGCTCCCCAACCATCATGAGCAGTTTCGACGGTACTCCACAGGGCATGTGTTTCTCTTTAAGCACTTCTGCTGCGTGGTCAGGTTTGGAATCGGTCTTTTGGAGTTTTCTCTGTGGGTTAAATATATTGCACACATCGCACATGCGCTGCTTGATTCTGGAAATGTTTTCCAAAGAACTCCCAGGTTCTTATAACGGCACGATTTAAGTTTATGGGAAAATAATTTAGAAACACATTCTGTGAAACTAATAAAGACCGTTTGCCTCCATGCTTTGAAAATCCAGCTATGCACGCTCTTTCTTCCGATTTATTAATAGTTAAATATGTATTCATAGGTCTATTACTACTACTACAAGCATGTGTCTGTGCAGATGAGTGTTTTACCTTGATCAAACTGTTTCTGAATGTTGTCCTGGTCTGTCTTGTTCCCACTGACGCGATACAGGCCCTCTGTCGTCAGACCTGGAAACACATACAGCCATTTTCAGCAACAGCTCTAATGGACTTCATTCATGTGGACTTAAAGCAGCATTAAACACACAAAAAAACTGTTAAAGTGCTGAGCTGAAACAGATGGGCCAACAGAAGCACTGTTTCATCTAATGTGGTTTTCCACATTAAAACATACTGAGAGCATTTGGATTTAAAGCTAAAAACGATGTCCTCTTTCTAGGATTTCAAAGCCTCTAATAATATTCACATTAGACATGTTACATTTAATTAGAACTTTTCTTTTATTTCTTTTTTAAATACTTGTAAATGCTTGTTGTGACACTGGTTATGATGTAATTAGGCCACAAGCTGCAGCAGAAAGAAAAACAAAAAGACGTCTCACTTCCTAGAAAACATTTACACATTTTTTAAACATAATTCATTTACTCTGAACAAACAGAGAACAGCACTGCAGAAACAACCAGAGACATATATTCCATCACAATCTCCTGAAACCAGAGGCAGCAAATATTATACAGCTGGACTTAATCCACAAAAGGTAGATCAAAGGAGAAAAGAGAGAAAACGGAAAGAAACTTTAGTTGGAGTGCATTTCATTAAAGGAGGCATTTACACCTTTCTCCATTTCTTGTCAAACATACACTCACCAGTCACTTCATTAGTTACACCCTGCTGTATTTTGCCTTTACAGCCAGCATAAATTCAACAGTGTGCTGGAACATTCCACAGAGATTGTGGTCTGTGTTGACATGATAGCATCACATAGTTGCTGCAGATCTTAACATCTGAATGATTCATCAAACCAGGCGAGGTTTTCTGATCCTCTGTTGCTGTGATAACTGTAGCCAAGATTTCCTGTTCTTAGCTGATACAAGTAGGACCAGGTGTGGTCGTCTGCTCCTGTAGTCCATCTGCTTCAAGGTTTGATAACCTGATTGTAACAAGTGAATATTTGAGTTACTGTTACCTAGGGGTGGGGGAAAATTGATACTGTGTAGTATCCTGATATTTTGTTTGTAATAATGTATCAATACAGGGACAGCAGAAATCGATATTTTGTTACAAAAAAGGTTTTTGTGCTCTGACTTCAGAGCATACAGCTGTCACAGTGAATCTGAACGCATGCTGACA